ACAACGCGCTTGTACACATAACAGAGCTAAAACATAATTGCAATAACCATTACAAAATGAATATTAAAATGCACGAGAAAAACCTTGGTTCCCCAGGTTTAGGTCTCTTGGGATCAGCAAAACGAACGGTCAATGGCAGATCGCACCCCTATGATGCAAAAATGAGAAGTAAGGTCACTGACTTCGAGACAGGACCCAAAACAGAGCACCACTAGCAAAAGAAGTGAGCTTACTCTCATTATGTATACTCCATTGAGAGAACTAATTGCCGCCTGTGCCATATCTCTATGAGCATATTTGACAAATCCACATCCTTCCAACAATTTTATATACAAGTTAGGAGAAAAAGAAAATCAACAAACGTTGAACATGACATATCTATGGAAACATAGTTCAAACATCCTACTGCAGCACAGTAAGAATTCACCATATGATAAAATCTGTCCAGAGCTAAATCTTGAATAGGCCCTATTGATGAATGGGGGCTGACTTTCAAATATTGAGTTACAACATAGTATCAGAAAATACTAGACATACCACGACTCTGCCTCATTTCATCACGCATCAGATAGACGTCTTCAACTCTACCATAAGGCAAAAAAATCTGGCATAGTAAAAACTAGTATTAGAATCAGTCTGAATGTTCCTCCAAAAAAAAAAGGTTCTAATAAACTAAAGCAAAGTTAAAAGTTAACAAGTAAAATTAAGACAAACATAAATTCCATTGTTAAGACATCCAATAGATGACGATAAAATAATGGTAAGAATAAAGTTCCAGACAGCCTTTATCAGTTTCCTAGATGACAAGCATAAGTTGCCCATAAATAAGTTTTCTATGTCATCTGCAACTCTCCAATCCTCCCGGTGCAGTGTTTAAATATAATCACCCCCCTCAACCTCCATGGAAAAAACTTCATCTAGGATTGAGTGGCCTAATGTTCTTTTTGGGTTGTCCAAGAATAATGCCCTCACTTCCTAAATTGGATGTTTTTCCACAAGCACCGGTCATTAGAAGTCATTTTTCTATGGTATTCAATTAGGCAACAATTGGATCTCTCGTTGATCAGTAAAGACACCCTTCAGAGCAGCATAAGTCGAGAATTCTCTCCAAGAGACCGCAGAGGATATACTATTTAGCAGAGAGGAGAATGCAAATGGACAACTAATCATTCTAAGGCAAAATAAGAAGAATTCATTTTTGTCGGCATTTCCCTTTTTGTTTCCAGCGGGGGCATATCATTAATGTAACCAAGCCCAAAAGGCACCATCTAGCCCTCGCACAGTTGGATAAAATTCATATACGGATGGAAGTAAAAACCTCCCCTGGCTCCACAAAGATACAGTTTTCCTTCAGTATGTGAGCTTGATTATTTGTATGACAAAAATGCAGGAAACTTCGCAAGAGAGATATACCAAACAAAACTATGAAAATACCTGAACCTAAAATGAGAAAACCAACTGCCACAACCAAATTTCATTATCTTTCAGTATAAAAATGCTATTTGAGATAGTGGTTGACATGCTCCTACTAGTAGGGCCACCCATGTTTAGTGATCAGAACAATTGAAGAAAGAATGATTTTCCAAGTATAAAGATAAAAAGTTACCAAAAATATTCCATTTTCTGACCATAGAAATAACGATGATCATTAGATGGAGGTGGTGTATATTGATGGGAAAAGGAATACGCTTATAAAGAGGTACACAGTAGCTTTCCCTCATTTCTCTATACTTGCAAGCAGCAAGTTATAAGATTATAGCAGGTAAATAAGTGATAAGCTAGCTCTAGAAAATGTATAGAGCATACTTCTTCAACTTCTTTCTCTGTAGCTTGTTTATTCAGAGATCCAACAAATAACTTGTACTCAGTAGCCCCTGCAATGGATGGGGAAAAAATGAGCAAGAAGATAAAAATCAATTCACGGAAGGTATGAAATAAGTTTTTAACTGAAAATCTTCCGCAAAATTTGCTGCCAAAAGTTAAGGAGAGAAGAAAAAACATAAAAGGAACTAGAAGTGTGCAAGGAAGCTTGAAATTGTTGAAAAATGATTACGACTACAAAATTTAATGAAAATCATAAGAAATTACCAAGCCGTTCTCGTTCCCCGTCAGCATATCTGACTTGGATAGGACCAACTCCCTGTAAAATGTATAAATCGATAAAGAATCATGAATGATATGGAGCGAACTAGTATAGCAGAAAGAAAGAGAGAGAAGAATTAACCCCAGGTAAAGTATACTGGTTATGCAAAGCTCTAATGGCTCTATCAGCTTCTTCTGAAGTAGCATATTTAACAAAGCAACA